ATTTGCATCCACCTTAATAAGAGTTTTGCGCATATGGATTGGAGAAACAGTAGGAGAAAAGTAACATGAAGAATGGTTCTTAGCCAAAATGAGGAAGAATGGCTAATGAAATATTTTTTAAAATTTTTAATCAAAACCACCTTAAGTGGTGGGATTTTGGCATGAACCCCTATTTATTTATTAATTGAGAATTAATAACAAAGAGGGGGCATAAAACCTTGCCTCTGATAGTTACGTCAGCTTTTAACGCTAATTGAGAAACTATTAATCCTATTTAATCTAGACGATCCCTTAGCTAATATAGGCAAGGTTACATGATAAAAAACATGAGGATAAAACAAAGGTTACACATTGAAGTACAACCTTCATTTTCCAAAAAATTCTCGAAAGCTGATTTGCTTCTCCGTAAACATGAGGATAAAAGAAAGTTTGTTGACTTGTAGTGTCTGTCTAATTAGTTTAACCCATAGTTGTCAAAATCGCGATTCGGATCGTAGGATCGTACGATCCTACGATCCGGATAACCAAAATTGATCTGGATCGTATTCAGAGTTGCAAATCATATTAATCTCTGTAGGATCGCATAGAATCGTAGCAGAATCGGTAGGATCGTGTAGGATCGTAGAATCGTAGGATCGTACGATCCTACAATTTTTTTGTAAATTTGTGAAATACGAAGCTCCATTTTGCAAGTAAATGAAAATATTTGTAGTATATTTGTAATTTATCAAAGAATTGCAACCTTTAATTGCAATTAGGAGTTTTTGGTAGGATCTTACGATTCTACGATCCGATCCTACGATCTGATCCTGTGAAACTAAAATCGATCCTACGTAGGATCCCGATTTTACAAACCTTGGTTTAACCTCAACATCAATTTTCCTCGGAACAATACTATCCCCATTCAATCTTTCACAAAGAATGTACAAGTCAATCTCTACCACAACATGATCAATACTTCGGGTATACAAAACACATGGTGGATGAGAATAGTTGATTTCAGGTAACAATTTGCTTAAAACAGGTCAAAGAGTGAATAAATGGATCTCCTTTAAGCATGCTGAAGGACAATAAAACAATCACTTGTGTGACGACCCCACTTCTCCCAATGGCGAACCCAAGGGTATCGGCGGGCCGTCTGCCTAGCTCGCGCCAGGACTCAAAACTTAAAACAATAAAAGCCTGAAAATCCAAAAGTGTACTATACATACTAAATACAATCCCAAAAGAGTTATAATTACATTCCCCAAAAGTGCTTGCTCATACTATTACATCCTTATAATTACAACCCAAAACCAAAATGTAGACCCTAAGGAGGGTCCTTGTACAAACCACCACAACACAAACAAACATCCTAATTGTCCAACTATTACAAGCAAATCTAACTATACTAGTGTATGTGCCAAAAGTCCCCGCGTAGGCCCCTGCTAAGGAAAACAAAAGGAAAGGGGTAAGTTCTATGCTTAGTAAGTAAACAGGGGCAAAAGCATAAATTTCACGTAACCACAATTACACAGTAAGAGTAAAGCAAAAGTAGAAAAATAACATTCGATAATAAGGATACGGGTGGCTCCAAAGCCAATTCATATGCCATGCGTGATCTCCTGTCGACACTCCGTCGACCACAATTAAGATCCGTAGAACTCCACTTGTACACCCACCGAACACCTTATCACCCTCACTGGCCAGTCACCTCACAAACTTGCCCGGGCGAATGAAATCACAAACTTGAGCTTGAGTCACAAGCTCGGGTCACAAACTTGGTCCACATACTCGGTGAACCGGATTTACAAACTTGGTGACCTCAAACCAGGTTGGACTGACTTCGACCAAACCCTAACCGGCTCGAATAGTCCATCTAGGTCATGAGATCGGGCCCTAAACTCACAAACTTCACGAAATTATTCAAAAGTCACCCCGAGCCACAAGCTCAAGGGTTTTAGTTCCAAAATTGCTCATATACACAAGTCATGGACAAATATGTGCGCAAGTTAGGGGATAGGTCGAGTGCGATAAAGTACACTCTCGCCTAGGTACCCTCTTCATACATATTGAAATACATAAGCAACTAACACCCAAGAGTGGCTTGAATACTTACTCAACGAACAAAAGAGCAAAATACGAAATTCGTGCCGCGAGGAGTAGCTAGTAGGCCCCACCGGCTCCACCTAGCTCACCAATGTCTGAAATAGAAGATTGTGTCACAATATATCACAACCGGCTACTAACATACTTAAAACAAGCAAAACGACAAAATCGGCACACACGAGTGCGGAAACGGCACACGGAAACGGGAATGGCGGCCTAGCCATTTTGCCGTCAAAACTGTTTTGAGCCTAATCGAAGCTATGAGTGTCGGATTAAGGTACATGAGGTACCGTTCCGAAGCTAAGAGAAAAGTATATAACTTTCATGAAGACTCCTAACTCCGGATCTGAACAGAGATGGGTCGAAAGTGCAGAAAACCGTTCTAGGAATTCGCACTCCAAAGTAACAGACAGGGTATGTTTGCTGGACTATAACTCCCAGCTCACAAATCCAAATCAGGAAATTCCAAAGGCATTAGAAATCTGAGACATAAGGCTAAAACTTTGATGTTTTGGCCAAGATCTGAATCCACTCAGAACAGAACGAAATTTGAGTGTCAAAGTACCCGTCAGAACTGTCCAGATTCAAAGGCAGTTCTGACGATTGATCTTGTTTGGGTCATAACGGAAGCTACGGAACTCGGATTTCGACGCACTTTATACCGTTTCGAAGCCAAAACCAAGATCTACATTTCTTATGAAGGAGTCACCACCCAGATCGTACGGTATCAAAATCGAAAAAGTCACGGGCAGAAGCTAAACTAAAAACGCACAGAACCTGATGTTCAAAACAGGCTTGAGTATTTCATCTATAACTCATGATACCCTAATCCGTTTGACCTGAAAATTTACAGAAATATTCAGGACTTAAGGGGCTACAATATTGCAGAAGGTCACTCAGCCCAGTCTTGAGTGTAACAAGGTCAAAAATACCATAGACTACACCAGAATCGCAAAAACAGGTTTACAAACCGTATTCTGGTTCAAACATCATAAGTTAGGCTACCTAAGTCCAAATCAAGTGATTCCAAAGCCATCCGAAATCTAAGATACAAGGCTACAATTCATTAGAAGACATAAACAACCAAATCAGAAGCATTCCTGATCAAATTAGCCAATTACAGAAGCAATACTCAAGTTCGGGTAGAAACAGGGCAGCAGGGGTATTTCGGTCTTTTCACAGGCTACGTTGCTCCGATTGAGTTGAAATTTTGTAGGCACCTATAAAATACCATTATCTACAACTTTTATGTTTTGACCTAAGGCCAATTCAGCCTCTAACATAGGGCTACAAAACCGGACAGAAAAGAGGGAAAAATTTTCCAGATTCTGGAATTTTCAATTTTCAATGCAACCTTCCTTGATTTCTTACTTCCAACACTACCAAAACCCCTTATATAACCTTAATTACAACATATATTAACCATACACCAAGTTGGGCAGCAAATCATCAAACCCTAGTTCATATAACCAAAAGGGGAAAACCTCCAAAACATGATAGCATCCATTATTCACCACCAAATTTGAGTTGCTAAGCTAATTTACACAAGATTCAAAAGATCAAAGACCATGATCAGATTTCATACCTCAAAGACAAGCTTGGATGAGTGATAATCAACCCCCTTGGAAAATTTCTGGTTCCCCTAGCTTCCCAACTCACAATTAGCACTTTGATCGGTTTGGAAATTTGATTTTCTCACTTGGTTTGGCTAAAATTCAAGAAGAAAGAATTTTTCTTTTGCTCTCCCTTTCTCTCTCTCTTTTGGTCGGCCAGCAGCAGAAATAATGAAGGGAAAGTGCAGAAAATTGGTTTAAGAAGGTTAGTTGCTCACTTGGCCAAGAAACTCTAGGATGGCGACAAGTGTCGCCACCTCCACCTTTCATTTTTCTCTTTCTTTCCTTGCTATTTCTAGCCTCTAATTTTCGGTCAAACAAGCTGACAATTAAGAGGATATTTTGCTCAAATATCAATAAACTTGTATGGTAAGAAAGTGGTGGTCAATTGGTCCGTTCAATCGGTAATGCGCGGGACCCGCCGGTTCGCGCCGTTTTTCTTAAAAACACACGTACTAGGGTTTTTACTTCCTATTCACTAACCTTATCTCATTGCTCCTAATCACATATTATTTCTCACTTAAAAGTCACTTTTAATCACCAAATTGATCATTAGTCAGTACCGAAAATTCATCCGGCGAAAAATCGCGAAAACCCTAATTTGCCCCAATCTTGAAAACGAAGAATGAAACCCTACTTTCTAGGCTCATTTGCACTTATTATGGAATAATTGGATAGTAGGGTTTTAATAAATAATAATTTCCAAATAAAAGGAAATTTTTAAGAAAACATGAGGAATTTTCCAATTCTAGTGATTAAAATTAGGGTTTCAATTAAAATGTGAGAGATTTAAGAAAACCGGTTAGTCACAAGTAAACTAGGGTTTTTGACTAAAATTTTAGGGTTTCTAGTCTTTTAAAACAAAATAAGGTTTTAATCAAACCCAAAGAAATACACTTTAGTATCTTCTTTACCAACAACCTCCTTATTATTATTATTATTATTATTTTTTTCGGGGTGTTACAACTTGGGCCTTTACCGAGTTGTAAGGTTTCAGATTTTAGAGACAATACTTTATCCGAAGTAAAGAACATCAGAGTGTAACTTTTGTTTTTGAGTTATACTAGAAGAGAGTAGACTGGGAGCTACAGATAACTAACCGATTCAGAGAGCCACCAAACTTGAGGACCTACGGATGGAATATAGTCTGGTTAACCAGACCGTATGGAGTGGGTAATGTATAAGCTTGTTAGCTTGTTAAGCTTAGTAAGCCACTAAGAAGTAACAGCTTAAGATTTAACTCTAAAATATATCGAGGGCAAGCCATAAATGAACTCTGGCAATATGAGGCCTATATAATAAGGATTATAAGTCAATACAAACCCAATCTTCTAGTGTACAAGAGCCATTCTCCTATCACCGTGGTCCTTATCATCCACATAACCTCCTGAAAGCACTACTTATTGAGCACCACATTTGCCTGTCCAGGAATTCCACAAACAACAGGTTAACAACAGGTTGTCCAGAAATAAGCACTACTTATTGGAATACAGGTTGTTGCCACAGCATGGATTATGCCGATTTGCATAGCACTGATTAACCAATACACCTAAACTCAGCACCGGATCATTCTCGGCTAAGATGGGTCCCAAATGATCTGAAGGAACGCTGATGAAAAACTTTCCATATTTAGCATTAGCATTTCCACCCTTCTTTGCTTGATCAGTGACATATGACTCATCAGGTAGATCTTCGGCCTTCAAAGATTGATAGACCTTTATAGGCGCTCCAATAGCACTTATTCCCACCATTCTTGCAAGTCTAATGGTAACTTTTAGGGCGGAGTTGATACGTAGCTGGCTTGCCATGTGAGAAGGAATATTTGAGCCATATTTTGCAGAAGTACGTTTTCCTTGCCCAATACACTTCTGGAAACATTTAAACAAGGTTGAGGCTGCATGTTGTCTAGATTATTGAAACATTAAGGTAAATTATACATCAGTTAATAAATTGACATGCTACTCCCAAATTAATCAAATTTCGGGAGACTAAAAATCAGTATAGAAATCAATCGCTGATTGATTTAGATTTCTGGAGGCTGTTCCAGGAAAAAATTGTTTCCATAGCCAATTGGACAGGTCTTTGGAATACCTTGAAGGTGCCTTCTGAGCTTCAATCTCAACATGGGTCCTTCATGACCGAGTGAAAATTAGATTCCCAACTTCATCCGTAAAATTCACTTGGCAAGTTTTGGGATCATCCTCTTTTGCTTCAAAGTAAGTATGTTCTCTGGAAATAAGGAAACAAGTCAAGAACTAGCTGACAACAAATCAATAACGCAAATGGGGACTGCCAACTGAGGTACATATACAGTCTGGGGCACAATATCTACATGATGGCCCTAGGTTGAGGCGCCAAAATAGTTAATGCCTGGACATATACATTGAGAGTATTTGCTCAATATGTACTAAAAGACTAAAGTTCTGTTAGCACATGATGAGTGCAGGATGCAAATACCACTTTCATTCTTTGAAATAAATATTGAACTTAAACAGATAAAGTCAGTTAGGAAACCAAAGCTGGGGTGTGAAGATTACAGCATGTATAACAAAGATGAACCCTAGAATCTCTAGATAAATAACCAAATTTGAGCAAGATCTCCAGCCGAAAGATTGCACCAGTACGTGCTCCCCAAAAACAAGATGACTGTTTAAATGAACAAAAAAAAATATTTAAAAAAGATGACTGTTTAAACTTGGCCTCTGCACTTCATCTGCTTGAAATTTCTAACATTTTTCGGCTTTGAGAACCTTTGACTAAAGATAGAAGCTCCCATTCGTTGCATTTCTTACCCGGGAAAAAAAAAAATCATGTTTCCGCAGGTGGAAAGAGGAGAAACTCAAGCTAAAATGCAAAAGCAGCAAATAACGAAAAACAGAATCAACAGAACATCAACCTGCAGAATGTCTTGCTATAATGAGTTCTCTGCCACATCAATATTTGCTTTGCTTCTGCCTTGGTCATTGTTTAACCCATTCTTCTGACAATCTGAGCTGCTTCTCAAGGAACACTGAGGCACGTGTTATTAGTCAGGGACAAGTACCTATAAAGTTTTCCATACAAAACTTCCAAAGTACGTCTGTTCATGTATAGCATGATTATTATATATGAGACCTCATAACTCTCTCCATATCAAGCAAAGAAAACCAAAGAATTTAATTAAGTAAAGTGACAAAATGAAAAATATTACCCTGATGAATAGTTTCAAGCTACTTTCAATCAACCAAACATCAACTTTTGATGCAGTGAAAAGATGGTATCTAAAGGTCTTTCCACAGGGCATCATATGCAATACTTTTATGTACAGGGAAATGTATCAACAATGCTCCATATTATATACTTGATATGCAAATCTGACTAACAATTCATTTCTGGTATCTAATACTATCAAATAAGCCCTTGAAAATGGGAAAGTGTATAATTGTCCTTCGGTTATTCTTACTTCATAGATAAAATAAATTTAACCTCTTTCATCAGATCCTGGGGCATTTATATTCCTTGCTATATATCAGCCACCACAGCCCATAATTGTCTTCAATTATCTTACTTCACATATAAAATAAAATTTAACCTCTTTCATTGGATACTGGGGCATTTATATTCCTCACCATATATCAGCCACCACAGCCCACTTCCTCACAAACCTTCCCCTACTCCACCAAAGGTTTTCTCTCGCAATTATATAGTATGGCTTCCATTGCATGTTGATGTTGTGGGTTTTATGCAGCCCTAATAAAGCTCAAAAAGTGCATCAGTAGATTATCAATGGATTCCACTGTACAATTCCTATACTCAGTTATATAACAAGATTCTGTTCATTTACACCATGTATGCTTTACAGTCGCAATAGACTATCCAATTCTTAATTCCAGTCCACTCAATCAACCTCATCCTGGCCTTTGAATGCAACATCCCGTCCTAGTAAGCCAGAAGGCACTTTTGGCGCCACTCCTAGCCATTGCGCTCTGCCAGAACAACTACACTCCCCTTTATTGTTCCAGTTCCTGTCCAACGCGACAAGCCCCCGCATCATGAACCGCCCAAGTTGAAAGCTACCATTGTCAAAGAGAAGATACTAAATTACTGTTAATAGGTCATTGACCTAGTTGATACAGAAAAAAAGAGCGGGAAAAACTTACTCCTGAGCAAAGGATGAAAAATTATTAGTTGAATATATATTCTAATTTCTAACTAATAATATGAACTTCATACATGAAGATGTAACAATACATGAAGGAAAAGATAAGCTGCAAGAACCTGAAAATAAGCCTTTAACAAAGCACTTGACAGTAGTCCTATGCCATTAACATTAAATTTGCAAAAGACCTAGCTCCCTGCAACAAATTAAACCAAGTTGAAATATTTAAGGAATGAACTCCCACAATCTAGTGTTGATTTTCAGTGCAACAGTCTAAAATATTTTCCACATTCTTTATATGTTTATCAATAACCCGCTAAGAGCAAACAAGAAATGAGGTTGTAAAAGACATCAAATGAAAGGGGCACAAATGTATGCAACAAGGAGAACATAAGGAACCTTTTTGAAGCTAAATGGAGCTATTTTCAAATGTATTAGCGCTTCCAGAACTGGAAAAGTGTTCACAAAGGTAGACCAGTACCAATAATAGGCGGTTCTGACAAATTCTGCTTGGAGCTAAGCAAAAAAATTAGCTTCAACAACAAAAATGTGTTATGTCGTGTCTCTTAAAGTAATTACCGAGAATTTCTTGATAAAAGCATGAAAAATACTTAACTAACACATCGTACTAGTATTAACCTGCAAAAAGTAGTTCAAAGATGTGCATACTATCTTTGAGGATTATAAAAAAGTACCTATAAGCAATCAGAGCAAGAGCATTATTATATGATCTACCTTCTTCGAATCTCTGTAACTTCTAACCCCAATTAGTCAATCTACTTTCTCCATCTCTATGAACTGAGCTTTTCAAATACTGACTCAGCTATAGGGCCAGAGATTTAGGCTGAAAATGGAATTAAAAGATGTATTGCAAATGGATATGGCAAAGTACCAATTCAAAGAAAATATCATCACTTTTCAGTCAAAGGACTAATCATCTTCAAGCCAAGTAGCCAAAACTAATATTGGCATTAATTAGTTTAACAATAAATGTATAGCATGCTCAGAAATTGAATGAATGTAGATTCTTACATTGAGCTTACTTTTTCAATGGTTCCATATTTATCCTAAATTACAAACAATTCTTCAAGAGCAATAACTAAGTATAATTGCACATTCAAAGACCTGACAAGAGTAAGGAAAATTGGTCTTCGCATGATTCAGAAATGTTTATAAATTATTAAACTAGTTCTTCTAGCAGTTCACTAGGAGAAGATTTCATCATTTGGACGCAGATGGAGAGGGCTTGAAGGTGAACCATTTGCATCAGCATGGACATTTTCAGTCTCATCGGATATTCCATGCCCATTATCAGCTTTCTGCCTCTTGTTCTCAGTAGAAAGGCAGCCATCAACACTCTTCCTCTTTAAAGCACTTCCATTGCTTCCTACATCTTCGGCATTTAACGATGCAATCTCTGTGTCACTTGGCTGATCACCAGGACTCTCTTGTTCAGCATCAACTCCATGTTCACCAGAATCCTCCATGGTTTTCTCATCCTCCTCAAGCTTAGCTTGAATATCCTCAATTGCAGTCATGACTTCTCTGTTAACCTATGTCAGAAGCAAGAATAGTTCAGCAAATTACCAACATACAGAGAAGGAGCATCTACTTGTGAATGTGCAGGAAAAACATAATGATCCAGGTATGGTGATGGTGTCCTGGGTTAGTAGGTATAAATTTACAATGGGATAGTAACTATGCAAACAACAGCAAGGATGCAGCTCCTAAACAAGCTTTTAAAAAAATATGGTACTGTTTTCCTGACCTGCATATTCTGAAGAAATTCTGATATGTCACTTGGGCATACAGGGCATTTCATACAGTTCTTCTGTGCACGAAGTTGGCGTCCCCCCTTGCATGTTCTTTCTCTTATGAATGCTTGGCCACTAAAACAGTCTTCTAGACAAGATTTGCAAAAGTTATGAGCACAAGGTGTCGTGACAGGGAGATTCATCACCTTCTTGCACAGTAGGCAGCTGAATTCTGCACAAAGAATTTGTAATATGTTCTCAAGCATGGAAGAGTGCAGAGAATGAAAAAGCTGAGCATTTTTTATGGGCTGTTTGAGAATGATTTCCATCGAGTTAGTAGAGACTTGGCAGAAAATTAACAAATCCAAACAAATTACAATAATATTCAGTGCCCACCATCCAGTTTTTGTAAACAAAGTAGTTTAAAAACCAACTAGCAAAATGAAGTGCATACCCTGCCATAGAACCGAGCCATTTTTCCAAGGAAACAACTGAAGAATCAATATGAACCTTATATTATTTTTTTTAATCTTTTCTGTCTGATTTGTCACTCAGAATGGAAAATGTACAAACCTTTAAGAAGGTTTTCTCTTAAGGAATCATGTCGTGATTTCTTAAACGCCCTGCGCGCCCTCTCTATATCCTCAGGTTTTGCTTCAATGACCTTTTCTTTGCTGGGAGGAGGTGGCATTTTCCACTTCCAGCAAGTTTCTCCATCCTGCTACCAAAATAGGAGTAAGTACATACAAGTGCAGGAGAAAGGCAAATTAGTGCAGTTTAACTCGGACAATTGTAATCAAAAGTGTTAAACTTGAAGCCAAATCGGAAAAGCAAAAGAATGAAAAAATAAAAAGTATAAACTAACCACGAATGATGGTGCTGTCTAATGGAAAGGTCTAAAAATGGAGTTCACTTAATGGAGTTCACTTAATGAGATAGCTTTGCAGGATTTGATGTATAAATTTCTCTTTTAGGTTTAGCTTTTTGTGCATTTGCCATATATTAAGGTTAAGCTGTTGAGCAGAAAATAGAAAAACTTTGAGTCAAAAGGTACTATCCCAAGGGCTTAACCTCTGGTTTGCATAAATAAGATAGTAGTGCCTTTTCTTAAGCTAAGAACTATATTACCATATATTCAACTATGAACATTGCCTTATTCAAAGTAATAAGATATTTTTTTTGTAAAATGCTAAAAGCAATGCATTTTGGATTTTTTTTTTTTGTACTCTTTCAATAGCTTAAGTACTTAGATGGACACGAGAAAAAACTTAGGTACTTAGCATTCTTTCACCAGCCATAGAGAGCAACTGGGAAAAGCAACCTGCAGTTTTCAAAATAATGCTCGCTACCTGAATTACTAGGACTATAAAAATTTGCAGATGGGAAAGAGTGCAACACAGAGAGAAAACCCCACTCACATCATAATCCCATGATGGGCTTTCGCTCCTCTCGAAAATGTCAATTGCTTGTTGTAGCTCAGGAACATCTGGAAGGGCACGGGGACAATCTCCGTCCTCATCACTGCATGATGTGAGAGGATCAGAAGCAGGTAATTTTGTTAATGCATAAAGCGGTATACACACAATGCAGCACAAACCTCGTCCATGGTGCAGGTTCGTTATCACATCTTACAAATAAATATCTACAGACTTTAAATCCCTGGAAAAAAACAGTAGTCATATGAACTTATTAAGCAACAAACAAACTGTCTAGAAAACCTAATTCAAACAATTGTATGTCTGAACCTGCTGCCCAACTTTTCTCCAGCATTTTTCTATCCTGTAGATCCCATCATAGCGCAAATCTTTCTCTGGGGCATAGGAAGAACGTTTTTCTTTGTATGATCTGTCAATCAAAGTTAAGAAGCAAAAAAAAAGTTATTGCAGATGTACTGGCTCATGACTGACCATATAAGGTCTGATAAACTCTGTATTACTTTTGGGATGAAAGAGATAGTAGCATGAGTACCCAAGTTGTGCTTTTAAACATGAGGTCGCTCCAATTTTACTATTAGGAATTATCAAAATCATGAGACAGCTTCACAGTTTCCCAGACTAAAATGATGCCCATGTCAACAACAAAACTTGGACTTGCACCACCTAGGCAACAGAGGATTTTGTTTTACTTGAGTAAAATCTAGGGTTTCTTCAAATAAGCAAAATAAAACTTAAATTATACTCCAGAAAGATTCATGTAAGAACTCTAAAGACATAAAAAAGAAAGTCACGGGTAATAATGGAATGGAAACTCCATTTGTGTGGCTAGTAAAGGCACATACAGGCTAACTGCTCTAAATTAACCATTAAATGCCCCAAGGTAGTCCATCAATTATTGTCTATCTGTGTAGTACATTTGTTAATACCCATTTTCTAGTTGCAAGTTCAAAAGCACCTGTCATTGGAAATAACCTTCAGATTTTGATGTGATAAGAGTTCATCAAATGCAACAATTAAAATGATATCAAGGCCACCAGTATAGAAACTCTGCTCCATGCAACCAAGAAAATTGTAATGAAAAGCATATCCATACTATGAAATCAAGACAAGCGATATTAGCTACAGTTTTACCTAATCACACGAACTGGATAGCCTTTTTTGCAACTAACACGCAAGGCCTCATTGAAGTTTTTGAACTCCTGATCAAATGATTGGTCCTTATTTGTTCGCTTGTTTCCACTTAGATCTCTCCCACCGCTACCATATTCACATATAAAAATGAGTGATATCAGCTGAAAGAAGATAAAGCATTTGCATGCAAATTAACAAAAGTCTACACATGTGCATTGGTGAAACAATAAAAGAAAAGTAACATGAGGAACTAAATTTCTCCATCTGTGCTTAGTCGAAGAACACATGGAGGATGAAAATGGTTAATTTCAGGTGACAACCAGCTCAGATGGGTCACAGTAAATAGAACCGGACCTCCTTAAAGGATGGCAAGGTGTAATAAAACAATCACTTGGGCCTTTAGAGTGTTTAAAGCTCTTTTAGATATAAGTTACAATAGAAAAGAGCAAGTGGGGGCTACTGATAACTCTTCAGAGTGCTCCCAAGTTGAGGACAGATTAACGTAGTACAGTCTGGTTTTCCAGATCATACAGAATGGGCTGACATATAAGCTTGTTAACTAATCAGCAACTGACAACTTAGATCTAAGTCTAAAATATGTAGAGGGTGAGCCATAAACTAAATTTGGTAATACGAGTATATTTAACAGGGAATATAATTCAATAAACAACCCTAACCTTCCAGTATAGAGGAACCATTCACCATGGTCCTCATCATCCACATAACCTCCCGAAAGGACCACTGACTGAGCACCAACATTTGCCTGTCCAGAAATTCCACAAACAAGAGGCCGATGCACACCCCACTGTCTGGATTTATGCCGATTTGCAAAACACTGACCAACCAAGACACCCAGATTCAGCACGGGATCATTCTCAGCTAAGATGGGTCCAAAATGATCTGAAGGAACACTAACAAAAATTCTGCCACATTTAGCATTCGCGATCCCTCCATACTTTGCTCGTTCAGTGACATATGACTCATCAGGTAGATCTTCAGCCTTCAAGGAGTGATAAACCTTCACAGGTGCTCCAACAGCAGTTGTTCCCAACATCCTTGCACGTCTAATGGTAGCTACTAGGGCAGAGTTGATACGTGGCTGGCTTGCCATGTGAGAAGGAATATTGGAGCGA